TAAAAAAAAAGAGGAAGAAGAAGAAAAAAAAGAGGAGAAGAAAGAATAGAGGAGTAGAGGAAGAAGAAGAAAAAAAGAGGAGAAGAAAGAATAGAGGAGTTCTACTCCTCTATTCTTTCTTCTCCTCTTTTTTTTTCTTCTTCTTCCTCTTTTTTTTATCCTTGAAGCGTTGTCGAGGCCACCCCAAACCCTAGAGAATCAGCGTCGAGGCCACCCCAAACCCTAGAGAAGCAGCGTCGAGGCCACCCCAAACCTAGAGAAGCAGCGTCGAGGCCACTAATTAATATTAGTTCTACGTTTGCCACTAATATATCCATCTGTCATGTTTGAATAATAATTGCCATGTTGTCAATATTTGTAGAAACTATGGACACCGCCCGAGACGAAGTACAAGAAGAGTTGTTGGGGGACATAATCGCATGAGGAAGTGATGCCGTCTGCTCGTTGTTTCTCAACGACACTGATGGTCTGGAAGCAGCTGGCTATGATTATGATGGCTCCGGTGACCTAATGCCGGTGCAAGAAGGAGACCGTGAGGACGGCTCCGGTGACCCAATGCCGGTGCAAGAAGGAGACCGTGATGACGTCTCCGGTGACCGAACCGAGTCCGGCCAGGTATATATATTAGTTAAGCTTCTGCTGACTAGCTAATTGATGCATTCATTGTTTTGGTATGTACACATATTAATTAAGTCTTTGTTCTTTTTTCTAGCCCTCCGGATCGAGCACAACTTCGGTAAAGAGACGAGGCCCGAAGAAAAAGTTGAGCTCGGATGAAAAGTTTGAGATCATAGCAATCGCGCCCGACGGCCAACCGATTGAACCCCTCCGGACAAAGAGCGCATTTGTTGCTCAGTGCGGGGTTTTGGTTAGGGACAAGATCCCGATCAGCATCCAGCAATGGTTTAAGCCGGCTACAGAAGACCCTGAGGTGTCTTATGTCAATGATATGCAGAAAAAATGATCTTTGGACTGAGTTGAAGTCAAATTTCACCCTACCGCTAGAGGATAATCCAGAGAAGCCAGTTAAAGAGCAATTAATCAAGTATTTTGCTCTTAAGAGGATGGCAGAACTATTCAGGAGGTGGAAGAAAGAGCTGAATAAGTTTGTCGAAAATAATGAGACACCAGAATTCAAGGGCAGATATGAGAAGATCAGAGATCATTGGCCCGCATATGTGGCCGACAAGACATCGGAAAAGAGTAAGAAGATGTCGGCGACAAACAAGCAAAATGTTGCAAAGAAGAAGCATCACCATCGCACGGGGTCAGGTGGCTACCTCGTAGCCCGGCCTAAGTGGGCCAAGACTGAGAATGATCTGGTTGATAAAGGGATCGAACCAGAGACAATTAACTGGCCAGACCGTTGTCGGACTTGATTCTTCGGGGCTAGCGGAACCTTGGACCCTGTAACAAGGAAGTGCATTTGGACGAACGATCACATGGACATACCAGTCAGGAAGCTTCAGCACTATATCGAAGCAGCGCAGCAAGGGACGTTCTTTCCAGACAGAGAGAACGACGAGCTCACAATGGCCCTCGGGAATCCTGAGCACCCTGGACGGATACGAGGCACGCCAGGCTCCATTCCGTGGAAGGTTAGGTTTCCGGACGCAGGCGGTTACAAATCCCATGAGAGGAGGAAAAAAGTGCAGCAGACCCAAATGCAGGCGCTGCAAGCAAGGGTACAAGCGATAGAGGAATGAGAAGCAAATCGCAGCAAACGTACTGCCGAAGCTTCCCCCGAAGCTACCCCGCCATCTCAGCGGAGAAGCAGCGTGGCTTCCACCGAGCTGCTTCAGCCGAAGCATGCCTTGATGGCTCCTGCCAGCTATCCCATGGATGCTATCACGGAGTCTCAAAATTGCCACCTTATGACGCAATGGATGAATTTGAAGGTCAAGGCAGCTGTTGGCTCTGTTTATCCTACTGAACCCGGCGCAACTTTTCACTGCCGGCCGATTCCAGAAGGATATGCTAGGGTGATGGTGGATGAAATAACAGAGGGATTTGAGGACCTCCAGCTTGACCACCCTACCGGTGAAGGGGAGACTATGCTGGGGTCTGCTCTGAAGACTTCATGCCTATGGCGGAAGGAGCTCATCAACCTTCCGAACTGGACGCCTCCACCTCCTCCTCCTCCTCCGGCAAGTCAAGGCACTCCGCCTCCTCCACCGCCTCCTCCTCCGACGAGTCAGGGCACTTCGCCTCGTCCACCGCCTCCTCCTCCGGCGAGTGACGATCAGGGCACTCGACCGGCTCCTTCTCCAGCGCGTGGCGGCACTCCGCCTCCTTCTCCGCCTGCGCTGACGCGCCCGAAAAGCCAGCCTCCTCCTTCTCCGCCTTGTCAACAAGGGCGGAAGAGACCTGCCGCCGCTCCGGCTGCTCCGGCGCGTCGTAGTCCTTCTCCTCCGCCTCGTAAGCAAGTAAAGTAGACAACCGCTCTGTCTGCTCGGCCGGCATCTAGCAGTACAGCCAGAGGCAGGAGGAAATACAAATTTGGTCCTTCTCTAAAGACTCCACAGAAGTTACCATATGAGAGGACCCCGGAGGAGAACGCCGAGATCGCACAAGAATAAGTGAGGAACTACTTTGAAGGGGTGAAAGCAAAGAAACATCCACCTCCGGAGGAGAAGGTAGATCCGGTGAAAGCGAAGCGCACTCTGGCTGCCCTGACAAAACCACCCAAGTCTCCGCCAAAAGGAAACTATGAGCGCATTATTGGAAAGGAATTTGCCGAAGCGGAGCGGTCGGGAAGTACTGTCAGTGATCAAAGGCTGAAAGAACGACGAGCTGGGAAACAAATTGCCCAGCTCGATGAACAAGCGAAGCAATCGTGCCCCCCGCTCAAGGTGCCTAGCGACAACGTTGCTAATGATCCGAGGATGGTGCCCGGTTATAGCAATCTTGGCGATTACCTGCCCGACAATGTACATTATGATTTCATGGAGGTGCAGATACAAAGATACGAGTACGGGAAGCCTCTCGTCAAAGATGAAAGATCTCTATCAACGATGCGAAGATTGCATGATTGGTACTTGAAAATCTGCAGAGACTCTGGGGGAGGAGTACTTTGTATGTGAAAGTTAAAAAGGAGCATGACCTCGTTGGAATTGAACTGTTGCCTGTTCCATTTGAGGAGTTCTTTCAGTTTTTCAATCAATTGGCCCTCGATAAAACAACGGTCACCTGCTACTGTCTGTAAGTAGTACTACTTCTGTCATTATGTCTCTCTATATAGCTCAGCCCTTTCATTGCATGTATTTATAATCATCCTCACTATATTATGCAGATTGAAGATCGCCGAATTGAAGAAAAGACAAGTCGGTGATATTGGGTTCATTAACACATATCTCATAGATGCAACTCAGGTTAAATTTCATGCCGCAGCTACCGAGGCCAACTTGCTACGATCGTTGGTAATAAATGAAAACAAAGATATAATACTCTTTCCTTACAACTTCAAGTGAGTGTTACTGTCTTGTGCGTATTCGGTTTCCCTTATATATTAGTCAAGGTTATAGTAATGTAATTGATGAGTTATGCATGCGTGTGCAGTTTTCACTATATTCTCCTAGAGATTAAGCTTGAGCAGGGACTAGGAACCGTCTTAGACTCAAGACGAAAAGATCCCCATGACTATGCAGACATGACTCAAATACTCGAGAAGTAAGTTAAATCGATCATTATCCACCATATCAGCAACTTTGTTCATTTCCTGATATATCAAGTAATTGTTTTCTTTGTCCGGCAGGGTTTGGAGAAAATTCACCAGAAAAGCTCCGGGACTACCGAAGGAGCTGCAATTTAGACACCCGAAAGTAAGTACTATAGCTCAGCCCTTTCATTGCATCTACTAGTGATTCAAGCGCTAGTTTCATCAATACCATTTGGCATTCTTGCTTATCAGTTTGATTGACCTCTATTTCTTGTAAAGTGGTTGTGGCAGGAACAAGAAAATGATTTCTGTGGATACTACGTTTGCGAGTCCATCCGTCACACGACCTGTGAGCGGGGCTACACTGACGAATAATATGAAGTACATAAATAACAACATTCATAATTTTATTTTATTACCATCATTTGTGTTGAGTTTCATTCATTCATATATGTATGTATTGACCCCCTTCTTTAAATTAGATGTTTCGGAAGCGGGATGAACTCCTAGCACCAGCTCGCATGCGAGCAATTCAAGAGGAATTGGCAGCATTCTTTCTTGACCACGTGATCGCTGAAGACGGAGAATACTATGTGGACCCTGAGTCCGTATGATTATATTTGTAAGAGATAATTATTGTATATATGTAGCCGGTAGTGTCGGATAGATATACGAGAACTTGTTGTTCGACCAATCTCTCGGAGAAGGAGAGGTGGTCGATATCACTTCTCTCTGTATGCATATATGTTCATGACGATCTTCTGTTTCCTTCGTTTGCTTACTAGCTAGCTAGCGTGTCTAGTCCTCTCTATACGTATGTATAGTACGTAGCATCGACCAAGCACGAACATAAGAAAGGACACTTCTCTCTATTAATTATAGCTAGCTAACACAATATATGAAACACCTAAATTAACCCCCAAAACCCCCAACCCCCCCCCCTTTCAAAAAAAAAAACAAAAATCCCAGCCACAGAAATGTTGACGCGTGGATGCCTATTGGTCCCGGTTGGTGCCACCAATCGGGACCAAAGGGTCTCCTGCCTGGGCTCCGCGCACAGGCCACGTGGAGGCCCATCTGTCCCGGTTCTGGATTGAACCGGGACTAAAGGGACAGGGCATTAGTACCGACCCTTTAGTCCCGGTTCCAGAACCGGGACAACAGGCCCTTTTTCTACCAGTGAAGCTAGCCTAATATTTACTTTTTTCCAGATAATGAGACCCAATATTTTGTTATATATATAAGACAGTTTCAAACTTAATGATAAACTAATCATTCCATTTGAAAAGGACTTAATAATCATAATTGTCTTGTTTCAGGCGCTATTCCTCAAAATCTATCTATGGGAGCCGTCCCTTCGGTTAATCTAGCTACTATAAACCATGTCACTGAAAATTTCTCCGAAAGTAACATTATTGGTCAAGGTGGATTTGGCGTTGTTTATAAGGTTAGTCCTCCACTACTCATTCTTTTTTTTGAATGTTGGCAGGAGAACTGCCAAATTCATTGATCAGAAGAAGGTGTTACAAGAATCCTCAGAGGAGGAAAGCACTGAAAAAACAGTGCGAAAAGAAAAGAAATAAAAAGGACCTGTCGGCAGCACCACGAACCCAAACTCTACCATCAATCGTGAACACCATCGGATCCATCGTCGGAATTCTCCAAGGTGACGCCCCCAAGAAGGAAACGATGTTGAGAACACCGCCGTCACTCGATCTGGCACTGCCTGATCTTAGGTTTTCACCCGGAGATCTCACGCCATTGGGTAGGAAGGGCAAGCGGCTCCACAATGATACCTCCAAGGAGGACGACGACATCCGTGGATGCCGCTACCGCCGGCAACGACAATGTCGATGCATGATTTTCATCCGGAGCCGAGTCTTCCACCAACAAATCCAGGATCCGAGGCCACCAGCGCCACGGAGCATCACAACCGCATGCGAACACTACCAATAACGAGTATGTTGAAGCCGCACGCAGAAACTCGGCAAGCACACGCCAACCTGGCCGGTCCACACAGCCACTCGCAGACCCTGGGTGAGCCAAGCCGGATCTGGCCATTCTCTATTTCCGTGCACAGAACTGGGCGATCCTCCGCACCGCAGCGCACAAAGAAGGCAGAGGGAAAGCCGGACATAGCCGGTCCGCACCGCAGCGCGCAGAACTGGGCGGGATCCAAGCCAAATTGTGCCGTCCGCACCACCGCGCGCAAGGCCAAGAGTGCTCGTGCTAGATCTGGTCTGCGCAAGCCTCGTGAAGCCCCAAGCAAACTAGAAGGCGCCACCACTCAAGGGAGCTGGCGTGTACGCACTTGAAGGAGAGACACCACCAACAACCCCGACTCCACCGCTACTGCCTCCACACGCCAAAAACGCAGCCGACCCAGGCGCGAAACGCAGCCATCCGACTAGCAGGCCCGCGGCGCCAAACCATCCCGCCGTGAGCGAGCTAACGGCCAGATCTGGCCGGCCGACCCCGTTCCTATGGCGTCAGAGGCCTCCTCGCGCCAACGACGCGCGCGCTGGCACCCCTGCCTCGCCCTTCCACAAGCCAGCAGAGGCTAGATCTGCCCCGACCGACCGCAGGGACCCCGCGCCTGTCGGACCCGCGACCTCCTCTCGTCGGCGGCGCCCGCTCCGCCACTCGCCGCCATGGCGCGCCGGGCAGCGCCAGCCCTCGCCCAGTCACACGCCGCAGCACCCCTCGCCATCGCTAAGCGCAGCAGCCCCGCGCAGCCCGCCTCGCTTGCAGGGGAGGAAAACCCGCCGCCGCCGACACCGCGCGTGCTTTGCCCGGCGGCGCTCGCCGGCGGCGGCGGGGAGAGGAAGGCTGGAGGTGCGGCGGCGACCGGCGGCTAGGGTTAGCTCGCGGGGAGCGACACGGGGCTCGTTTCGCTCTTCCTCCACTACTCATTCTAGACATCGTGACATACATCATGTCAACTGGACGTTTTATGCGTGACTTAATAAAATTGGTCTTGAATTGACGTAAGTGCACTTCGCGCGGGCGGGGAGGGGATTTCGTTATGGTTACATTGACATATAGAGAACAACCCTCAACAAACTGAGGACTCACTTCATAAATAATTTCTCCAATTTGCTGATTCACCAGGGCCAGCTCACTGACGGAAGAATGATTGCTGTTAAGCGGCTTAAACAGTCGGCTCTCACCAGAAAAGGAAAGAAAGATTTCGCTAGAGAAGTTGAAGTGATGGCCGGGCTCCGGCACAACAATCTCGTTCGTCTCCTCGCATACTGCAATGAAGGAAAAGAGCGGATACTAGTTTACGAATACATGCAGAACAAGAGCTTGAACGTCTACATATTTGGTACTCGCTGCTCGCTGAAACTAAAGAATTTTCTTTCCAATTGTGTTATGGACGTTCAACTATCTCATGAAATATTCCTGCGTTCAAAACACATCCTGCACTCTTACTTCACTTTTGTTCGAAATTCCTTTGCTTTAATTCTAGTTGTTGTTGTACACTTGTACTAGAGTAGACTACGAGATGCAAGTATATTCAGGAACGCATATCAATTTATTTCGTACTAACAGGCACACCTAGCCTTCGTACTTCATTGAACTGGGCAAAGAGACTTGAAATAATCCATGGTCTCGCGCATGGTATCTCGTACCTTCACGGTGGATCAGGCGAGAGTGTAATCCACAGGGATCTCAAACCAGGCAATGTTCTTCTAGACGATGAATGGAAGGCTAAGATAGCAGACTTCGGCACTGCCAAGCTATTCGCCATTGATCAAACAGGGCCTGATCAGACAGTCGTTGTTTCACCGTAAGAAAATTTATCTTTTCTAGAAGAAATAGGAGGAATATGAGAACCAAATATATATCACATTGTTGACTTTCATGAAGGGGATATGCAGCGCCAGAGTATGAGAGGCAAGGAGAGATGACGCTAAAATGTGATGTCTATAGCTTTGGACCAACAGGGCTGTCTCCAGAAATTTGAGGCCCCGGTGCGATATACAAAATGGACCCCTAAATTTCGGAACCTGATAGAAACATTATAGTTGCACTTAATTATTTAACTTAGTTTTATTTCGATCATGTTTAGAAATATACCGAGTATTAGTGCAAAATAAAATAGATTGTACTAAATCGATAGTAATATTCTACGGATCAGCAGCATCAATATTTATGAAAATATCTACTCCCTCCATCTGAAAAAGCTTGTCACTCAAAGTGATGTATCTGGCACCAAGTTGATGATAGATACATCCATTTGAGAAAAGCTTGGGACAAGTTTTTTCGGACGGAGGGAGTAGTGTTTTTTAAATATATTTATTTAGTACAATGGCTCGACGAGCTAAAGTATATGATAAATTGATGAAAATATCTAGTGTTTTTGTAACTAGTAATATCATAGAGACGCCATAATGCGGAAATAATTCTGAAACTGAAAAACAAGACCACATCCCAGTTTAGGCTTAGCGTGGAATACTAACAATAAAAGTAATCCATGTACTTAGTAGGAGGGTAGCAGAAAGTTACCTACTACCAATCTACGATCATGGACTTACGCCTGTGTGAACGAGGCCATGTCGGCGGCGAACTGTTGCACAACGCTGGCCAGAGGTCGTCCTGCTCGCGCAAGAGGGAGGAGATATTCCGCGAGGCTGTTCCTTGGCACTTGGCAGCAGCCTAGCTACCTCTGGATCCGGCAGGGCAGTGCCACCGCGGCCGCCGGCAAAGCTGGATACCATCATGGAAGAAGAGTACAGCTCCACCATCATGATGTACGACGCTAGATTTCAGGGCAAGATCTCTTTCTTCCTCGGGGCCGCCATCGACAATGGTTCGCCGCAGATCCATTGGACCGTGGTTAATTGGTTTTCAAGGCGGCGCGAGGCAATCGGGTGAATTGTTGGATTAGGGCAGTGCGACGCTTTGACTCGACGTAAAATGGGGCCCGCGCAGGCATCCATTTTCCTGGTTTCTCGGCGCGTGGGGCGTTTCGCAGCTGAACCGTTTACATCGGGCACTCGCAGATCAGGTGTACGAACCAGGGTTTCTCTTATTTTTTCACCGATCGGGGCCCTCACGTTTTTTGGGGGCCTGTGCGATCGCTCACTTCGCACGCCCTCATCGACGGGCCTGGCTTTGGAGTTATCCTCTTGGAGACACTAAGTGGGCAAAGGAATGTCAGCATGCAGAGGCTACTTTTGAACGTAAGCGCGGTCTTGTTTGCGGTTTCTTAACCATGTTGTCGTGAATTTATTTATATCATATTGTTACAAATTGCCACACAAAAGTAGAAAAAATTTGTAAGCTATACAAATGCTTCTAAGGTAAAGGTATAATACCTTGAACTTTTAGTGGACCTAAATGAGCATCAATGCACCCAAATCCGATATTGGCTGACATAATTAACCATTTTCATTTGGGATGAACTATGAACATTATATAAGATTCCACAATTTTTCAAAATAAAGTAAGGAAATCTCTTTTTTGCAGGCTTGGGGTCTCTGGGAACAAAACAAGACTATAGAACTTCTCGACACAACAATATCATTGCCACTTTCTGAGTCTGAGCCTGAGCTCTTGTCTGAGCTCAAACGATGCATACAGATTGGACTTCTTTCTGTCCAGGATATTCCCAGCGACAGGCCAACCATGTCTACAAATGTCGCCATGCTAACAAGCACTGCTTCGCTGATTAATCGGCCGGGAAGGCCGACCATGGATAACACGGCTATGCATTCGTCCCATGAGCTTGAATCCAACCTCTCGAGCCCGAGTACAGATGATCTGACATAAATTGCCTCTGTGGTTGACTCGGATTAAGAGTTGTTGCCTAATGATTTCTCAGTTCAAGTTAGGTGTGAATTGTCTTTATTCCATGGTCTTTTTTGTATGGGTGGTACCTCTCCATAGTGCCCTAATTCCTTTTCTTTTACTTTGTGTTACTCTTTTAGTTTTCCTATTTCTGAGTTGATTATCTCTTCAAATTTTACACTTTTCTCCTGAAAAAAATGTACATTTTTATTGTAAAACTGAAGTATAAGAGCAGTGCAACTTATCAACATGTACTGCAATCGATCTTAGTATGTTGATTACATATGAACGAGCCATGATATGAATGGTTGGATGTTGATCCAGAAGGTTCAAAACAGTTGTTGAGTAAATAGGCAATTTCTCGATTAAATTAATCCACGAGTAAATCACTAGCATGGCATTGACACAAATAAACGCATACTGATATACAGTCAAGCTAGCACATACTACGCTAATTGCAGAAAGATCTACATATAACGCTAGCATGACTAAAACAGAAAATAGTAGGAACGGGATAAACGAGTTATACCCTCCAGTAGGCCATGCAGAGGCCGCGGCTTTGGTGGCAGCAACGGCGTCCTCGGCGGCCTTCTTGTCGGCTTCAGCTTTCTCGGCGGCGGCACGTTCGACGTCGGTGGACATGGTGATGATGAAGGCGACGCAGACGTAGAGGAAGTAGACGATCGGAAGCGAGCAGTCGCGTAATCGCTGCCCAAAAACCTATTCGCCCCTCACCCCGTACAGGAACCAGAAGGGCGTGGTTTCGGAGACCTGCTCTCCCGTCGACCGTGTATGCGGCGGACCGGATGGAGTCACTGGCAGCAGCAGCAGCAAGGAAACGACGGTGGGCGTGCGCGTGGGAGCAGATGTGATCTGTTCGTGGCGGCTAGGGTTAGGAGACACCGCACACTTATATAGGCGCAGACGCGTGGAGAGACGTGGGCTCGACCCACGCCCGAGTCTATGACGGCCCATGATCCAACGTCTCAGATCGTGGCCCAGCTGTCAGAGAACTCTCCGTTAGTGACTGGCAAAAATAAGCGCGTAGGTGTGAGTTCGGCTCGTCTCAATCCCGCAACCCGCGGCGCGGCGCGACGAGGCGAGGCGGGCGACGGAGGAGGAGTGCGCGAGGGCCTCTTCTCTTCTCAAGCTCCAATAGCATGTAGAAGAGAAACCCTTATAAGGAGGTCCAACTCCTCTTCCACTTCCGAGGTGGGACTAAACTTCCCACTACACGTAGTGCCATATAACCCACTAGAGATTTTTCAGAAATTGCTATATGGGCCTAGAGCCCATCTCAAATTTCAGCAATCCCCCACCAGATCTCGAGGGCCCATTGTGTCCTCTGTTCCAATTACTGTTTCGATATACTAGTGTTTTAGTGAAGACCTGTTAAGGTTAAGCTTCACTGTAACGCCCCAAGACCGGAGCTTCAAAGGCCCTCCAGGGTTTCCGGGTTTCGTCGTGTGATTTGTTTGGTTCATTGCATTCATCTTTGCATCATATGAATTTGCATCATGTCATCATGCCATCATGTCATTAATCTTTGCATCTCAGATCAACTAAAATAAATTGCATGAATCTTCGGTCCATTTAAATCGAGGGATATTCACTATGGTGATTACTCTTTAAAACATATTCTCCCAATATTTTAGGGAGCTATATAAATTATATTCCAATAATTTGGAATCACCCATAACACACGTGCAGATAATCCCATGCCTTTCTGCTTCGAGTTGATCTCCAAACCTTGCCGAAAATTCTTTCTTCTTTTTTTGAGGCTCCTCCAAAAGTCTCGACATTTTTGGACCTTCCCAATCCTCACTTCCTATTCAAATCATTTGAATTAATTTCAAATGAGTTTGAATTCAACTTCAACCGCGTGCCCACTTCTATTTTTGCGGGATCAAGCTCATTTTTACAAGTCCGGGGAAATTATCCCTATGCGCAAAATCCTTCCCAAACCCTCTCCTTCTTTTCCCTCTCTCGATTTTCTTTTCTGCTAAAGGATTTAAGAGAAGAGAGAGAGAGAGAAGCCCAGCCTAGGCCGGCCTGCTAGGCCCAGCCGGCCCATCTAACTCCTCCAACCCTAGGCGCCCGAGCCACCTCTACCGATCCCCTCTCCCTCCGCCGCCAGAGAGCTTCAGCTCGTCCCCCATCTCCCTCTCGTTCGACCCCCCTCTCTTTCCTTCTCGCATCACTCCTCCCTCCTCTCGATCCCTCTCCTTCTCCCCGCGCCTCCTCCATCTGCAGAGCACCACAGCGCCGCCGCGGCCCTGCCGGTCCGGAGCACCGCGCCTCCGCCCCTGCCATGGACAGTCGCGTCTGTTTCTTCATCGCCACCGGCAGGAGCAGGAGCCCCATGACCTTCGCCGTCGTCCTGCCTACTCCGAGGACCTCCCGCACCGCCTCTCCTCTGGTTTCTCCTCGTCACCGTCTTCTGCACCCCGGCCACCCTCGGCATCGCTTCGCCCGTCACCGGCCACCAGTGCCCTCGCCAGAGCTTCTGCGAGCTACGGCGCGCCCCTTCTCCTCCTCCGCCTGGTGCCTGCGCAGCAAACGCCAGGGACCTGCAGGCCGCCGAGTCCAACGCCAGCCGGCGCCCCTTCGCTCGACTGCTCCTCTGCCTCATCCTAGGTGGCCTTGTCATGGCTTTTGCTTTGGCCAGAGACGTCCATGGCCCGACGCCCGCCTCTGTTGCTTCGTCGCCAGCCTCCTATCCGCGAGATCCGGCGATGCCGGCCACCAGAACCCACTGCTGCTTCCTGCCGCTGACCACTACCATCGCTTCCTTGCTGCTGCCACCCGGGGTCCTTTGCGTTTTGTTTGTTCCGGACCATCAAGACCGGCAAGACCCAGACTCAGAACGCCAAGTACATCTACAAACTAGAAGAACTCGGATGCATCAAGTCCCTGAGGAGAACCATCTTTCGTCAAGTTCGACTACATTGTGACACGTCAAGTACCTCTACCGCCAAGTACCTCTACCGCCTTCTTTGAAATCCCAAGAATGCTAAGTATCTCGACACCCGGCGCCTAGAATGACTACCGACGCCGAAGACCCATGAACAAAAACCGTCAAGTTCGACTACCGTCGACGTGTACTTCGCCAAGTACCACACCGTTTTGGAAGACCCGTGAACATCATGTTCTCTGCCATGAATGGTTACAGTGTTGTGGGACCGGCAACTACCCTCTCTGGATCGCCAAGTTCAGCTGCCGATGACATATACCACTACCGTCGCCGAGATCGCGAGAACCTCTACTTCCTCCTCGAAACGTGAACGACTGCCGTCGACCCCAAGTGACTCGGATTCGTCAAGTCCTTCTATGAAAACGTGTATCACTATCGTCGCAAGTACCTCTACCGTTGTCGTGTACCTCCTACTTCCACTACCGTCACGAGAACAACTACTTCCTCTACGAACCCGGGACCGCTCCGAGAATGCACCCCTTCGAAGGTATAACCGCCGAGACGATGACCCGTGGACCGAATGCATATGTTGTATGAAATGCTCGTGTTTGCTCCGTGTCGGAGTTGTTCGGTGCATGTTGCCCCTCTTTCGCCTTGCCACCGACATGTGGGAACCCGGTAATCGGGAGCACCCCACCTTCCTTGCATGACACGCTCCCGTCACTTCCTTTTGCACCGGTATCCCCGTGGGCTACCGGATAACCGATATGTTGCCGTGGCATCATTTTTCGTATTCGTCGCCGTGGCACCCCTTTCCTTTCCACCACGGTGACAAATTCTTCATAATGCTCTTGTCATTTTTTTAATAAAAATGGCATAAACTTGCACATGCCATCCGCATCATGTTTATAACATTTAAATGGTTAAAATTGTTGTTTGCATTAAATTGCTAAATGCACATGAGGATTTACCGAAATTGTTGTTTGATGTTTCCGGCCTCAATTTAAATGCCTAACTGTGTTTTTTACTCATGTTTCACCTCTTGCCATGTTTAACAACATTTAATATTGTTGGGTACATAAACAAGAGAGAACTAAATAATTGATGTGGTGTTCCGTCAATATGCAACTCGTTGCATATTGAGCTCCACTTAACTTGTAGTTTTGTTTGTGCCCTTTGACATGCCATGCATTTTTAAACCGGACATGCATCATACTTGGTTGTGCATCATGCCATGTTGTTGTGATGGTTGTTTACTATGTTGTTTGCTTCTTTCCGGTGTTGCTTCTTTGGGTTAGATCCGGTAACGTCGTGTTGTGAGGATTTGTTCGACTCCATCCGTTTGTCTTCTTCATGGACTCCTTCCTCCTTGCGGGATTTCAGGCAAGATGACCATACCCTCGAAATCACTTCTATCTTTGCTTGCTAGTTGCTCGCTCTTTTGCTATGCCTATGTTGCGATACCTACCACTTGCTTATCATGCCTCCCATATTGTTAAGCCAAGCCTCTAACCCACCTTGTCCTAGCAAACCGTTGTTTGGCTATGTTACCGCTTTGCTCAGCCCCTCTTATAGCGTTGTTAGTTGCAGGTGAAGTTGAAGTTTGTTCCTTGTTGGAACATGGAGATGTTGTTCCTTGTTGGAACATGTTTATTGTTGGGATATCACAATATCTCTTATTTAATTAATGCATCTATATACTTTGTAAAGGGTGGAAGGCTCGGCCTTATGCCTGGTGTTTTGTTCCACTCTTGCCGCCCTAGTTTCCGTCATATTGGTGTTATGTTCCCGGATTTTGCGTTCCTTACGCGGTTGGGTTATAATGGGAACCCCTTGATAGTTCACTTTGAATAAAACTCCTCCAGCAAGGCCCAACCTTGGTTTTACCATTCGCCATCTAGCCTTTTTCCCTTGAGAGTCGCGCATCCCAAGGGTCATCTTATTTTAACCCCCCTGGGCCAGTGCTTCTCTAAGTGTTGGTCCAACCCAGAGCACCGTGCGGGGCCGTCCCTTTTCAACTTGGGTTACATTGGCTCCCGTATGCTTAGCTTATCCGGTGTGCCCTGAG